GCCCTCCCACTTTGGTCGACCAAGAGCCTAAAAGGAATGCTTTCGCTCTCCATTGACGGGCTGATGGTTTAGGTCACTTTGAAAAATGTTCTTGACTTTACAGCCTCTTAGCACGTTTAAGGTATTCTTAGAAAACATGAATTCTAAACATGTCCTGCCCTTATGTCTGGTGCTGTTAGGAACAAAGCCTGCACAGTTCCGCTAGAAATACTTGTGCTGTGTTTAACCAGTGTAGTCCAGGAACCATGGTTTGGACTATGCTGGTATCTGACATCTGCTACCAATCTGCCTTGTTCTTGGGTTAGGAATCACATATTTTCTCTCTGTGTTCTTGATCCTCCCATGGTATTGGCTTCCTGGCAAACATGATTTTATTTGCTTTCCTGTTTTGATACGATACCCAGCTATGGTATAGCTCACTCACTGGGCCAGTCTGACTGTCAGTCATTTGACAGACATATGAATTGTTATTGCTGAGAATCCAGGCAGGCCAAGCAGGGCCTATATAGCGGCCATCCACTTGTTGGTCATGTCTGCAGGTGGTGAGGTTGGCTGCTTAGATAAGGCCACAGCCTTACACAGCCTTACCCTGGGCGGCTCCCAAACAGGAAGTAGGGAAGTAAGTGAGAAGTGTTGCTGCAGTGTTGTCGGATTGGGGTTGGGTCCTGTGAGAACCGGCAGCCCACAACAGATTTTTGGTTTTATTCTAGTGCCCTTGAAAATTAATGAGAGCATTGGGTAAAGGTCAGTGTATCTGTCTCAGAGTTTTGTGGGGTGGAGTGGTTGGGGGTTGGTGCATGTGCATGTATGTGCATAGGTATGTGCATGTGTGTGCTATGCATGGAGAGGGCATAAGACAGTTTGAGATGTCATTCCTCAAGAGACACTCTTCACTATTTTGTTTCTTTTGAAATGGAGTTCCTCATAGCTTACCCGAGTAGGTTAGGCTGGCTGGCCAGCAAGCTCCAGGGATCCTCCTGCCTCTGCCTCACTGGTATTGGGATTACAGGTGTGCATCACCATGCCTGGCTTCTCTTCTGTGGACTCAAACTCAGGTCCTAGTGCTACAGAGCAAGCCTTTGTAAACAGACCCATCTCCCCAGCCAGACTCAGAGCTTTGCAAAGCCCCCTTGCCGGTGTTAACAATGTGGGAAGCAAGGAAAAAGGAACAGGAGACCACCCAGGGCTACTGAGTTGCTGCTGGTGCCCACGGAGCAAGAGGTGCACTGGGGGCAATCCAGTGACAAATTGGGTGTCACCTCTTTCTCCGCTAGCAGCAGGCCACTCTCAGCCTCAGAATTCAGAAGGCAGTGCTGTGACCAAGTTCAGAAAGTCAGTCATCAGTCAGGGCCACAGAGTAGGACTCTGCCTTTCTGTGACTCAGTTTCACATGACCTGCACTCCCCACCAGGCACCGAGCCCCTCTTTCATCTTGTTCACTTTGAACAGCAAGAAAAACATCCTTAGGAACTGGCCCCGCACCCTCCCATGAGGCCTTTTCTGAAGGCTGTGTACCCACACTAGTTAGAAATTCCAAGCCATTATTAGCATCTTCCTATTGTGCAGTTTTAACCTCCACCCCTCCCTCGTGTATGTCTCTCTCTCTCTCTCTCTCTCTCTCTCTCTCTCTCTCTCTCTCTCTCTCTGTGTGTGTGTGTGTGTGTGTGTGTGTGTGTACAGAGTCTAGATCTGTTTCACCTAGAATGGCTGGCCAGAGACCTCCTGAGATCCACTTGTCTCCACCCCTCAGTGCTGGGGTTACAGATGCACATCACCGTGCCCCAATTTTCTGCCCAGCTGGAGAGGTGGACTGATGTTGTCTTGCCTGCACAGCAAGCACATTACCCACTGCCATCTCCCTGGTCCTTTTGTATCCCTTGTGTCTCAAGAACAACTGTTACATTGGCAGACAGCCACGCACAGTAGTTTACATATGGTCTCCAGCTGCTTCTGCACTATAAGCGCAGGTGAGCAGCCATGGGGCCATATGCCTATGATTTTACAACCTTGGCCAACTGGTCTTTTGGGAAGTATCGACTGCTCCCTGTATCAGCCAGTCAATAGGAACAGTTTCAAGACTGACCCCTGAAAGTTCTGGCTTGGGAAACAGTCACAGGCTGCTTGCTGCCCCTTAGTAGAGATCATATTGTATGTATGTACACACACACACACACACACACACACACACGCGCACGCACGCACGCACGCACATGCGTACTCCAATCCAGATTGCCAGAGGCCGGCATCAGCTGAGAAACATCTTTATCCTGGGAATCTTAGCAGTTATACTTTTGCAAATAAGTAGACCTATCCAAGGGTGCCTGGCTTGCGGGCTGCACATCCCAAGCTTTGCCAGTCATTTATACTAAGTGAGGGTGTTCCAGACTCCAGCTGCAGAGATGACTTATAGTTTTTCTTATTTTTTATTTTATGTGCATAAGTATATCTGTTCACCACGTGCGTGCCTGGTGCCCTCAGAACTGGAGTTATAGACAGTTGTGAGTCTCCCCAGGGTTGCTGGAAATTGAACGGGTGTCCCGTAGAAGAGAAGCCAGTGCTCTTAATCACTGAGTTTAATCTTAATCTCTCCAGTCCCTGGCCTATATTTAATGAATGGGTTAGGAAGGTGTTTTTCTATGTGTTACTAACTTGGGAATACGTAGAATAAACAGTTTTCAAAGATCCAAGAAGGCTCCTGGGGTGTCAGACAGTTGGAAGGAGGGAGCCAAGAGGCCTGAAGGTGGCATTGCCAAATAGTATTGGAGTGCCGACATTCCTTTTGTTTTTGAAACAGGGTCTCACTCCCATCCTAGCCTGGAACTATGCAGCTCAAGTTGAAGAACCTTCTGCCTCTGCTTCCTGAATTCTGGGATTACAGGCATTAATCACATTTGGCTGAACCTCCATTTTGAGGGCAAATGACTTTTATTGATGTCCTATGCCGTGCCAGACAGCAACTCCTCACACCAAGTAAGGGGGGGGGGGTCACAGATCTCTACTAGAAACCCCCAAAGCATCCACTAACTGGAACTTCAGACATCTAAATGTCTTAGAAATAAGGTTCACAGGCAAGTGTGTATGTTATCTCCAGAACCAGGCCTTCTGCATGGACTATCTGAAGGTACGTCATTAGCTTTAAAATGTTGAGTCTCAAGATCTCCTGAGTAAATTGGGAGCATGGGGACCTTGGGAGAGGGTTGAAGGGGAGGGTAGAGGCAGGGAGGGGAGCAGAGAAAAACATTGAGCTCAATAAAAATAAAAAATAAAATAAAATGTTGAGTCTCTTTTCCTAGTGCTTACCAATCTTTTACGCAGCCTAGCTTACAGTTTTCTAAGTAAATATCTAAGTAACATAATCAATGTGTTACTCTAAGAATGCTTAACTTGTGCTTTCTGGAACTTAAGGATTTTACTATATAGACACTAAATCTATTTGAATATTTTCATACTTTGTCCTAGTTACTACTCTATCTTCAGCATGATTAATCCCCCCCCCCCAGAGATAGGTAAACCATCTTTTGTTATTTTTTTCAATATAGGGTTTCTCTGCATGGCCCTGGCTGTCCTGGAACTTGCTCTGTGGATTAGGCTAACCTCGAACTCAGAACCCTGCTTGTCACTGTCTCCCACTAGGATTAAAGGCATGTGTTCAGAGTAAACAATCTTTGAAAAAAAGATGTATTTGCACTCATCTGTACTTCTGTGTCTGGGCGTGCGTTTGTGCATCTGGATGCAGGTGACCTCAGAGCTGGAATAGGGCATCAGATCGATCTTCTGGGGCTGGAGTTTCAGGCAATGGGTGTGGGGCATGCACCACACTCTCTGAGCCAGCTCCACAACCCCTTATGTAACCAATCTTTTCTTGGGGTTTTTGAGACAGGGTGCAACTCTTTAGTACAAGTTGGCCTGGAACTCTAATTTCACATTCAGTGACTGCCATGGAAATATATTAATAACTAGATCCTGAACAGTAAATGTAGGTCACTTGTTTGACCTACAGCTCCTCCTAAACTTGTGTGTTCTTTGATTTGAACCACAAAGCAAATGAATAAATGTCACCATACAACATAGGTCTATAAGAATGCAAAGAAGAGATATTATCAAGTTTAATTATTTACTGAGACAGGGTCTCTTTATGTGGCCCTGGCTATCCTGGAACTCACTATGTGGACCAGGCTAGCCTCAGACTAATAAAGCCTCTGCCTCCTGAGTGTTGGGATTAAAGGCATGCTTCACTCTGCTGGCTAAGTCATTTATTTTCTGATATATTTCTTCTTAGCTATCCAAGCAGTCTTGGAACTTACTCTATAGCTTAGGCTCTCCTGGTACCTGTGATCTTGCCTGACTCCTGAGTGCTTGGATTTTAAATGTATGCCATCACACCTGGCTCCATTATTGATTTTACTTACCTTCACTGACAGCAATACACTCCTCAGCTGAGTGCTTATTTGGGGTTACTACCTGGGAGAACCAACTTAGGGAACAGTAGTTTGTTGGTAAGAGAACTATAAACATTCTATATCCCCAAAGTAAAAGAACAAGACCCTCCCACTATTACCACGGGACCAAAGGGGAAGGAGAACAGTGAAAAGAGCAGAAAGGTTGGTTTTCCGCACGAGTTTTTGAATAAAGAAGTTGCCTATTCTTACTCCACTACTCAAAACATAAATGACAGGCTTATTTACAAACAAAACAGGAAATATGCTAAATAATTTCCAGAAGGAAATCTCTTTCAATGAAATCTAACATTTGAGTTATTTGTTGATTTGTGCTATAAATCAACACTGATAACCATACATTAATATGCTTGCTATGATAAACTAAGCCTTTGACTCATACTATCAAATACAACTTCAGGACTCGCTGCAACAAAACGCCCAGTTATTGTTATCTTGAGAAACTGTTTTATCTCCTTTGGTTTATAATCTGCAAAGCTGAATATGATACTAATTAATCTACCATCTATCCTAGAAGGCTACAGAAAACTGAACCACTCACTGTTAGGATTTAAGAATACAGCTTTAATTTCTTGGTCACTTTTGATCATATAAATATATAAATCTTAACAAGGTAACACTGGTAACTCTAATAAAGGTCATAAAAATAACAGCTCTGCCATATTGCACAGGTAAATTAATTCAGTTGGCTTTCCCAGCCCCCCACCAAACAACTTTCGGGTCATAACTGGAAGACACGGGGATCTATGCTCTCGACATTGAACGATATCAAGTCGTTTGCAGAAAATAAACTTTCAGAGTTCACATCCTGACAACATATACACCAGTTAGCAGGATCTCTTAAACAAGCGTCTCATTGGAGTTCCGCGGTAGAGGTGCAGGCTCAGAGCTGCGGTCTGTCATCGCAGCCTGGGAAGTGGTCCTCGGTCCGAAACAGGACCGGCGGCTCGTAGGCGGCGCGCTGGGGCCCGGTGGGCGCCGACTTGAAGAGAGCGGGAACGCTGATGGTGTGCAGCAATCTCCGGAAGGCCCGAGGGAAGGTCCCCAGCTCGGCCTCGGCCTTGGTGACCTGCTCCTCCATCCTGGCCACGCTGCTGCCGATCATCCTTACGAAGGCCTCGAGCTTGTCGATCCGGCCGTAGATGCGCCTCATCTCCACGGCCTTGGCGTGAATCTGCGGCACGCCCTCGCTCACCACGTGGGACGAGTCTCCGCGAATCATATCCAGCATGCCCACGAACTCGTCCACCCTGGCCAGCAGGTCCTCCAGGCTGGCGTCCAGAGCCTCCACCTCGGGTCGCGGCCCCGTGGCGGGCAGCAGGCTGGAGGCGTAGCCCAAGGCGGCGCGGCGCAGCAGCGGTAGATCGCGACCCGGCGCGTCCTCGGGGCCGTCATCTTCCCACGGCCCGGAAGCGCTGCTGTGGCTCTGCGATACGTGGCCGCTGTCCCCGCTCCACGCAGCACCCAGCGGCTCAGCCTCCTCAGTCGAAGCCTCTCGCGGGAGGGTTCCGCCCGCGGGTCCGTCCTCCATGGCCCGCTCAGCCGCTTCCGGCGCTACGCGGTTACGTCAGGATCCCGTATTTCCTTGCTTCCGGCGCCGACTGACTACATCATGCTCTTACCAGTGTGCTAATCCGTCCGTATTCTCAGTGCTCAATTGGCTTCCGTCCGCCTTTATTGAGTGTGTGCCTGTTGTTTCTACATGTTCATAATCCAAAAAAGATGACGATTAGATGATAGATGGGAAGATGGGTAGATGACAGATAAATAGATTAAGTCAGTCGTGGCACAGGCCTTTAATCCCAGCCTGGAGGTAGAGGCAGACAGATCTCTTGAGTTCAAGGCCAGCCTGGCCAGTTTCAGGCCAGCCAGGGCTGCATAGTGAGACCCCATCTTAAGCAAACAAACCAATAGATAATTGGTAGATGGATAGATGGTAAATTGACAGATGATAGTGTAAGAGGATTAGAATAAAATAAATCTAAAGATGTCCATGGAATCCTTCTTGCTTATCCTCACAGCCGGATGACCTCTGTTTGTCCACCTGTCCTGTGTCCAGCGAGGTCAAGTCTCTGCGGATGGTATGATATTCCGAAGACCAGCCTGGGGAGTCAGGGACTCCAGGCATTTGAACTCGAGTAGTGCAAACAAAGCACGTCTCAGTTTTATTATTAAGGCAAGCAAAACATGAGGTGACATTTATAATTAAGCAGATACTACAGCAAGAAAACACACCTGGTTACCGCGCCCGCACGGTCTGGAACCACGAGTCTCGGCGGAGGGTGTCCAGGTTGAATAAAATCCACAGAGCACGAGGTTGAGGTGAAACAGCAGCTCGTTTATTGTTCTGCTGGGGCTAGCTTTTATACCACGGCACCAAATGGGGAAGGGGCTGCGAAGGGACTGTCACCTGACCCAAGGAGGAACTCTTACCTGACCCCAGTAGGGGTCAAGGACTGATCACATGCACTCCACCTTCACCTGTCCTCAGTAGGGACTGTCACCTGACCCCAGCAGGGATCAAGGAATAATCACGTGCACTCAAACTTCCTCATCCAACTCCAGGAGCAGAGGGAAGTTAAGGTTCTTTGCAGATAAGCACCTCAAATGGGGGCAGGGAGATATAACTCGGGGTAGCAATTCCCACACCTGGTTTCATTGTCATCTTTGGTCTTGAGAAAAGAGCCAAGACTTTCTCCCAGGTCTTCGCCTTTCCCACAGTGATAATGTAAATGCACCATGTATCCTTAACGTCCCTGCTTTCAAATGTATTCACTGATTACTATTTATGTAATTCTTTCTAGAAGACCATCTGTGAGAAGAACATTCTGCACTGTGCCCCACCCATAGTTCACAGTAAGTCACAGCTTTCGTACACAAGCTCCCATATCCATCCATTGTGTAGGACCCACCCACCAGCACCCATGAAAAGTTCCTGCCTGTTTCTTTTACCTTACCAGTGATAGTAAAATAAACTGTAAGCAAAAACAAGGGAGGTGGAACATGAAATTATCCTAATGATTGTTCGGGTGGAAGCTGATGTGTTCATCTCAACCTCTTATGAAATAATAGCTCCCAACTATGGATGCCATCAAGGTGCTGCCAGGGGAAAAACATAAGATAGGAGTAAAATCCTTAAAATTCTTAGAAACATCCAAGGCAGCATCTCCTAGTACCATGCAGTCTGGTAGGTCTCTAGGAAACGTAGGGTCTTATTTTTTAGTGTGGTCATCTGAAAACAGACCTAAGGCAGCAATTGAGAAAGTGGGAAGCAATCGAGAAAGGCTTGGGCAGTTTACTGTCGATGCACTCATACACAGGCAGACACCCACACACATAGCACAAAAGACTGGGTGATAGAAACAGAATTGGAGTTTTGTTAGGCGGTCAACACATACTCTTTCTTGGTAAAGTTAAAATGAATTCTGTCCCCACTGGGAGTTATGAATTAGGGAAAAAACAACTATGATCAACAAAATAGAGAAAACTACAAACTGTGTCAGTTCTTCACATGGCAGCCCATCTGTCCCAGCTGGCTGAGTCCATCGCTGTGAACCTAGAACACAGCTGGGAGGAACTTGTTTTGCACACCGTGAGTAGTCAGCTTTTCATATCCAGAGGTTAAAAAAAAAAAAAACAGAAGTGCTAACCACTTATGGGAATGCTACTGCTTTAGTTCAGGTCCTCTGATACACTTGCCTTCTAGAAACATCAGGAGCCGGGCGATGGTGGCATATGCCTTTAAACCCAGCACTCGGGAGACAAAGGCAGGTGGATCTCTGTGAGTTCAAGGCCAGCCTGGTCTACAAGAGCTAGTCCTGGGACAGGCACCAAAGCTACAGAGAAACCCTGTCTCAAAAAAAAAAAAAAAAACAAAAACAAAAAAAAAGAAAGAAAGACAGAAAGATACATCTGGAAAGTGTTAACAGTATCTCCTCTCTGCCTTTATGCTTGCCTGTTTCTCTTTCCTACCTTCACACTCTCCTCTGTTTTGTGCATGGTCTAGGTTTTCTTCCGTTTTCCAACACACTATGCTTACACAGGCATACCTTGGGTGACTGTCCACCTGGAACTGGCATTGTGTTTCACTGGGTGGTTTTACAAACTTCCTTATGGTGTCTATACAGTGATTTTGATATAAATATGGATTTTCAATGCATTCGGGCCTTCAAAGACAACTTTCACTAGAGGAAGTTGCTTCAGAGGATGTATTTTCGTCACTCTACTGTGTTTTGAAGAGTGAGATATGGCTGTATTTTGCTGTTATCTGTATGACCCGATCATTTTCAGCATCTTGTAGCCTGTGAATTGTGGTCAAAATCTACCAGTATTGGTATAGTTCAAGACATGACTGGACTGTAGCTGGTGAAGACTGTGTGGATAGGACTCCTTTGCACGGATTCAGAAAATGGGTGGCTTTGTCTGTCATTTGGAACTTCAGTTCCTCTGTGAGGCAAAGGAGGAAAGTTTGCATGTGTTGTAGCATATTGTCTGACATGTGTGTGTTGTGTAACTTTGGGTTAATTTAAGAAAATCTGTCTGATAGTTTATGGTAACAAAGCTTGAATAGAAAGCAAGAACTGTATGCTACTGTCACAAAGCCCTCCCTATCACAGGGGCTACAGAGAAGAGCATCCGAGACGGTGGGCATAGATGCTGGAGAAAGGAGAAACATCAGGGCCTAGGCAGCAGCTCTGACAGGCATTCAAGGTACAAACCAAAACTCATTTGTATTTATTCACCTGAAAAGATTTATCTAGAAAGCTGAGTTTTGTTTCTGTTTTTTGGTCTTTTGTTTATCTATTTAAAGAATTGTGGAAATGGAGAGGTGGTTTAGTGGTGAAAAACACAGGCTGCTCTCTCTGAGGACTTGACCTTGATTCCCAACACCCAGACCAGGCCGCTGACAACTGCCTGTCGCTCCAGCTGTAGAGGCCCAGGTGCCCTCTTCAGGCTTCTGTGAGCCCCTATACATGAGTGGAGCACACTCACTGACACACACACACACACACACACACACACACACACACACACAATGATCACAATCTTTACAAAAAAGAATAGTGAATTTTTTGTTCAGATAACAGAAGTCCCTGTGGGTGTTGATAAACAAGTCATAGTGAATCCTTTTTAAAAAACTGAAAAAAAATTGATATTCTCCCTTGAGTCCTCAATGGCAGAATGAACTTTGTGTAGCTTGCCAGGCTCCCAGTAAGTACTGTGGGAGACAGTGGTTTATGGACTCATGGTAATGAGGTGGCAGAATAAGCCTTAGGCGTTCCACTGGCCCAAGCCCTGGCCTTTCGACTGTGGCAGTGTCTGATGTAGTGGAATGCACATCCTGTGTAAGGCACTAGTAAAGGCAAGACATGGATTGAGGAGAGGTGTGGACAGAAATTAAACTGGGAATGATGTTATGGCATATCACAAGAGCCAGAAGAGGGAGCCACACCCCCATGGGGGCATCCGGAAGCATTTTAGGGCAAGTGATGTTGCTGGGCTTTGAATGCTGAGTACAGTCCCTGAAAGGAGAAACTGTGAAGGCATCCGAGAAGCAGGAAGCAACAGCCTGAGCAAAAACTCCTAATTTAGGCTGGGATTGCAATTTACAGAGGGAGAGAGGCATTCTGGGAGAAAGGGTGATGGAGGTAAGCAGGTCTAGGAGGTTCTCATTGAGGAATTCATTCATTGTCACAAGCCTGTACTTCATTGAGGTCTCTTCACTTTACAGTTTTGCTCAGGATCATAGTCAAGCCGGCAGGCTTTGGTTCCTAGAACTGATAAATATAATCATCTAAGAGCAAATACATGCTCACCATAAGCATGGACACACCTTTTGGGTTGACGTGTAAAATGGAATCACATAATGTGGCTGCCCCCCCCCACTCATGTACCCTGCTTTGCACCCTGGCCTCATGTTAATGGCTTTGTGTTCTTCAGTGAACAGGTACCACTGGGGTCATTGACACTTTATGATTATCTGGGGAGTGATGATTCTGCCTATAGCTCACAAAGCTTATTCAATTTCAGTTTAAGGGTTAGTGGAAGAATAAGAGACAGGGAATTGTCTCAGGTACAGTTTCTATAGCTGTGACAAAAACACCATGGCCAAAAAGCAAGCTGGGGAAAAAGGGGTTTTCTTGGCTTATACTTCTATATCACTGTTCATTATTGAAGGAAATCAGGACAGGCACTCAAACAGGGCAGGATCCTGGAGGCAGGACCTGATGTAGAAGTCATGGAGGGATGCTGCTTACTGGCTTGCTTCACATGACTTGCTCAGCCTGCTTTTTTATAGAACCCAGAATCAGCAGCCCAGGGATGGCACCACCCACCATGGCCTGGGTCTTCCCCCATTGATTACTAATTTTAAAAATGCTTTACAACTGGATCTCACGGAGGCATTCCCTCAACCAAGGCTCCTTCTTCTTTGATGATTCTAGCTTGTGTCGAGTTGACAAAACCAGCCAGTACAGGAACCACACAGAAGTACAGGTAGGAACCAGGCCTGACCTGAGCAGAGGAGTGGGAAGGTCCAGCTGGGCTTTCCTGGAACTGATTTGGTG